TGAGCAAATGGCATTCAATATCAGATAGAAGTTGGTTCTAGAAATAAAGTTTTAACAACAAAATATGTATTGAAACAAGCAGGTAACATATCTGTAGTATTTCAGGTTCATATCCAGAAGGCATTTGAACTTATTCCAATACTGTACAAACTTCCCCATTATTAAGCCATCTTTGTAGCCTGCTAGAGCAGCTGTAAAAGGGGAAGATTCTAGTCCTTGAGAACTTAAGAATCATAGAATCCTAGGGCTGGAAGAGACCTCGGGAGGTCATTGAATAGTGTTTTCCACTGATTGGACCTCTGGTATTGATCAGTCAATGCTAATTCCAGTGAATTTACTGATTAGATTGCTTTACAAAATAATACATGGGTCTCTCAATCTGATATGACTGTCTCACTCTTCATTAGCTCACATACATTTACCTCCCCCCCCCCCCCCCCCCGCATCCCCTTCTGTTCTGAAATTTGATTTGTCCTTTTCATATGTGTTCTTTTTTTTTAATTGTATCCTTTGGTATATATGGTTGTGACTATTTTCTTCCACTGTTTGATCTGAGGAAGTGGGTCTGGCCCACGAAAGCTCATCACCTATTAAACCATCTTGTTAGTCTTTAAAGTGCTACATAGTCCTGTTTTTTGTTTCACTCTTCATGGGTTTTTATCAGGGACTTTGCTATCTTTGTCACAGCTCAAGATTACGTCCATACCTGTATCTGGACAACATTTGTAAGGTTTTTACTGTATCGTAATTCAACTCATACACAGATCTATTATAAATCCTGGAAGGAGCACATTGGTGCTTTTAGAAAAGATATTGAGTTTAGGTGATATGGCATTAGTCTGGGAAAGTGATATCAGAGGACAAGTCTATTGTGATTGATTTTTTTTAAATACTGGCATTGCATACTTAAAGAAATACACTCCCATGAGAATTATTTGGTGAGCCATAAGAGACCATTATAGAGATTTTTGCTTAAAAAAATGGTGCTGGCAATAAAAAGATGAAGGTTTATCTTAGTTTCAGATGTCTCAAAGGTGCACCCTGCTGACAAAGATAGGAGAAATATTAGACCACTGCTGTTAATTTTTCATAGAATGTCCTATCATTTTATTACAGCATGTTAACACTACTAGTTCCTCTTGCTGAAACTGTATTTTAAAAAAAGGATGCTGTTGCGTATCCAGAAGTCCCTAAAGTTTGTGTCCCTGCCCCCTATTTCCAGGGCAAACATGGCTTGTAGGCTCAGTTCATGGCAAATTGCCCTCTATCAGAGTATATGTGGTATGAAGGCCTAGTTCAAAGCACACACTATCAGGGTGTATCCTGAGGCCTAGTCCAAAGGTAAGCCTCTCAAACTGCTAGCGAGCAGGCCTGTTGTGGGATGGAGAGGTAGGGGGACCCGGGCCCTCCTGCACCACCGTGTCCCACCCCTGGGCCCTGTTGGCAGTGGAAGATTCTGCTGCCTGCTCGGCGGGGATTCCTAGTGAAACACGCTAAGCTCCCAGAGGACAGCCCTCTACCCTGGGCTACTTCCTACCATTGCCAGTGCGTTGCTCGGCTCTCGGGAAGTCGCACCCCCCCGGATGGCATCCCTGGGCAGGACTGTCACTGCAGCTGATGCTGTGGCTGGGGCTGCTGCTTGGGGCTACTCTGGAGCTTGGTCCTGAGCTTCTTTCCCACTTGTGGTCAGCCCCAAATGAGTGGCTCCCAAGGCTTTTATACCCTGCCTCTCTTGTGTGCATGCCCAGCAGGGCTGTGGGGGTGGGGCCTTTTTGGCCAGAGCAACTCCCTGCCCCTCAGTGCGAGGTAGCTACACCCCGTCACAGATGCATAAAATTAGACTAATTTTAATTTTTGGGAAAGTCAGTCTGTCCATTTTATATAGGGTTTTTTGGTACAATTTTTGTGACCGCTGCCCTTATTTGTTCTGATAGCCAGACTGTGTTCTGTATTCAGGGAAACTTACAGCTAAGGTGGCAAGTTCCCTTGGCAAAATAAATCTTGGTGGCTACACTTAACGTAGATTGAATCATTTTCAGATATTGGATTGGGTGTGGAAAAGTCACCCCGAAATGTTGCTGAAGTGTGTTCGCACTTGTTCCCTCTGACAACATATTGTGTCCAAATTTTTAGTTCCCTCATTGACATTGTGGGCAATGCACTGTGAGAACACAGAACAGAACATGACACATTTTGGGACAATGCAGAGTCCCATCAAGGCACTAGGCCCAGCTCTCCAGGGGTTTCCAGTTTCCTTTTGTGCCATTTTTCCAGCTACCATTCTGTGCTGCGCACTCTAGCTTCTTCAGTACTTCTCTGCTCTGCTCACTGTCGTGGGGACATCATGCATTGCAGCAGAGTTACTCTTCAAGTTACTGACAGAAGAACACATGTGGGCTCCTGGTATTTTTCATGAGATAGACAGTAACAACTATTGTTGCATTTTGCACTGGCAGAGCAGCTGTATAGAGCAGACCATTGCATTTTGCCTGGGGAAACCAGCAATGAGTGATGAATCGCATTGTCATGCATGTATGGGGTGAAAAGCAGTGGCTACAGAACTTTAAGAAGCATAAAGCAACCTTCCTGGGGATGTGCTGAGCTGCCCCCCCAAACTGCTGTGTAAGGGTACCCTGTCAGTAGAGAAGCGTGTGGCAATTTCTATGTGGAAGCTGGTGGCCCCTGACTGCTATCGATCCATTTGCAAATCAAGTTGGAATGGGGAAGTCTACCATTGGGGCTGCATTACTGCAGTTGTGCAGGGCAATAAATCACATTCTGCTATGGAGGACTGTAATTCTGGGAAACATGCAAGACATATCAGATGGCTTCACAGAAATGGCCTTTTTTAACTGGGGAGGCATAAATGGCACATACATTCCAATTTTAGCACTAGTCCACCATGCCATCAACAGAGAGTGATACTTCTGGGTGGTGCTGTAGGCACATGTGGATCACCGTGGTTGTTTCTTAGACATCAACATGGGAAGTTCTGCAAGGGTGCATGATGCATACATCTTCAGGAACACTGGCCTGTACATAAAGTGGCAGGTGGGGAGATGTGGAATAAGAGGGTGATCAGGAAGGGCATGGGGCCCTTACTGGATGAGGGGGGTAACCTAGTGACAGATGCTGTGGGAAAAGCAGAAGTGCTCAGTGCTTTCTTTGCCTCTGTCTTCACAGGCAAGGTCAGCTCCTAGACTACTACATTAGGCAGCACAGTATGGGAAGGAGGTGGGCAGCATCGGAGGTGAAGGAACAGGTTAAGAACTATTTAGAAAACCTAGACATACACAAATCCCTGGGTCCAGATTTAATGCATCCGAGCATACTGAGGGGTTTGGCAGATGTCATTGCAGAGCCTTTGGCCATTATCTTTGAAAACTCGTGGAGATACGAAGAGTTCCCAGATTGGAAAAAGACAAATGTAGTGCCCATCTTTAAAAAAGGGAAGAAGGATGATCCAGAGAACTGTAGACCTGTCAGCCCCACTTCAGTCCCCGGAAAAATCATGGAGGGGATCCTCAAGGACTGCGTTTTGAAGCAGTTGGAAGAGGAGACAGTGATCAGGAATAGTAAACATGGATTCACCAAGAGCAAGTCATGCCTGACCAACCTGATTAGCTTCTATGATGAGGTAACTAGCTTTGTGGACATGGGAAGTCAGTGGATGTGATATACCTTGACTTTAGCAAAGCTTTTGATATGGTCTCCCACAATATTCTTGCCAACAAGTTAAGGAAGTATGGATTGGATAAATGGACTGTGAGGTGGATAGAAAGCTGGCTAGATTGTTGGGCCCAGTGAGTAGTGATCAACGGTTCGATGTCTGGCTGAGAGTTGTTTTCCAGCTCAGTGTCCCAAGGATCGTTTCTAGGGCCAATTTTGTTCAATATTTTTATTAATAATCTGGATGAGGGGCTGGATTATACTCTCAGCAAATTTGTGGATGACATTAAGATGGGGGAGAGGTAGATACATTGGAGGGTAGGGATGGGGTCCAGAGTGACCTAGACAAATTGGAGTATTGGGTCAAAAGAAATCTGATGAGGTTCAACAAGGACAAGTGTAGAGTCCTCCACTTACGACAGGAGAATCCCAAGCATTGTTACTGGCTGGGGACCGATTGGCTAAGTAGGAGTTTGGTAGAAAAGGACCTGGGGATTACAGTGGATGAGAAGCTGAATGAGTCAACAGTGTGCCTTTATAGCTAAGAAGGATAATGGCATATCAGGGTGCATTAGGAGAAGCATTGCCAGTAGATCTAGAGCAGTTGTTATGCCCGTTTATTTGGCATTGGTGAGGCCAGATCTGGAGTATTGCATCCAGTTCTGGGCTCCCCACTATAAAAAGGAGTGGAAGCATTGGAGAAAGTCCAATGTAGGGCCTCCAGAAAGATTAGGCTGCTGGCTCACATGAGATATGAGGAGAGGCTGAGGGATTTGGGCTTATTTAGTCTGCAGAAGAGAAGAGTGAGGGGGGATTTGATAGCAACCTTCAACTCTCAGAAGAGAGGTTTCAAAGGGGATGGAGAGAGGCTCTTTTCAGTAGTGATGGATACAGAAGCAGCAGCAGTGGTCTCAAGTTACAATGGGGGAGGTCTAAGTTGGATATTAGAAAAAACTATTTCACTAGGAGGGTGGTGAAGTACTGGAATGGGTTATCTCGGGGGTGGTAGAATATACATTCCTAGAGGTTTTTAAATCCTGTCTTGATAAATTCCTGGCTGGGATGATTTAGTTAGGGTTGATCCTGCTTTGAGCAGGGAGCTGGACTCGATCTCCTGATGACCTTCTAGCCCTATGATTCTATGAGATGTGACAAATCAGTAGAAATTTGGTACTTTCAGCCTCAGAATATAGAATAAGCAATTCTGTTAATACAAATATTTTTCCTGAAGTTCTGCACATTCCCATAAGCAGAATTATAGGTATGCAGTAACTATATTTTTGTTTGTGAGTTTTTTAACCAAATTTCATTTTTAAAATTTTGTTTTGCAGGAGAAATTACTATGGAGGAAACTGGGCCAGTTTTAGCTTTTCAGGATTATGCTCCTGGATTAGGGAAAATAAGGTAAGAAACTAGAATGACCTTTATTTCCTACGTCAGGTTTCTAGTATTTTATTTTTTGTGAAAACACACTGTGTCAGGGTCAGGCCAGAGGGGTATAGGAAAGTGGTGGAGGGCAAATATATTAGCCCTAGACTGAGTAAGGGTATGTCTACACTACAGCGCTAATTCGAACTAACTTAGTTCGAATTAGTTAATTCGAACTAAACTAATTCGAACTAACGGATCCAGACTAAAAAACTAGTTCGAATTAGCGTTTTGCTAATTCGAACTAGCATGTCCACATTAAGTGGACCCTGAACCGGGGTTAAGCAGGGCCGGTAGGGCATCAGATGAGGACTTAGAGCGTGGAGCTGCCTTCTCAGGCTAGCCGAGGGCTGTGCTTAAAGGGACCCGACCCCCACCCCGGACAGACAGTTCTCAGGGGTGCCCCGCTTGCAAAGCAGTCCTGGCTTGGATTGCCCGGAGTACCCACACTGGGCACATCACAGCACTCGGCCATCAGACCGGCTGCACTTGCCGCAGGCTGCCATCTGGAGAGAGGGGGCAATTGGGGGGCCCGCAGTGCCCCAGAAGCCCACAGAGCCACCCCAGTCCTTCCCATCGGGAGCTCGTACCCCAGTCCTCCCTCACCTCCTTCCACTTACCCTTCCCTAGCCCCCCTTCCTGATGTACAAAATAAAGGACAATTGTGTTCAAAAATAGAATCTCTCTTTATTGAACAAAACTGGGGGAGACTGGGAAAAGGAGGTGGGAGAGGGGAAGAGAGAGGTTGAGAGAGGGGAGGGCAACTACAATGATGAGGGGTTTGGAACAGGTCCCATATGAAGAGAGGCTAAAGAGACTTGGACTTTTCAGCTTAGAAAAGAGGAGATGGAGGGGGGATGTGATAAAGGTATATAAAATCATGAGTGGTGTGGAGAGGGTGAATAAAGAAAAGTTCTTCTTTAGTTCCCATAATATGAGGACTAGAGGACACCAAATGAAATTAATGGGCAGCAGGTTTAAAACTAATAAGCGAAAGTTCTTCTTCACACAGCACATAGTCAACCTGTGGAACTCCTTGCCACAGGAGGCTGTGAAGGCTAGAACTATAACAGAGTTTAAAGAGAAGTTAGATAAATTCATGGAGGTTAGGTCCATGGAGTGCTATTAGGGGATAGGAACGGTGTCCCTGGCCTCTATTTGTGGAAGGCTGGAGATGGATGGCATGAGACAAATTGCTTGGTCGTTGTCTTCGGTCCATCCCCTCCGGGGTACCTGGTGTTGGCCACTGTCGGCAGACAGGCTACTGGGCTAGATGGACTTTTGATCTGATCCAGTACGGCCATTCTTATGTTCTAAGCTCAGGGCTCAGTGTCGGGGGTCTCACTGGAACAACTTGATTTTCATGCAAACCTTCACCTGGGTTTGCATGTGGCCTTTGGTGGCCAGGCTGGCAGCTATCCTGCTCTAGACGGCCACATTCCTGTGCCTAGTGCGGAGGTCGTGGATGAGGTCCACGATGTCTGCACTAGACCAGGCGGGTTCCCGCCTCTTGCGGTCCTGGGCAAGCTCCCGGGAGCCGCCAGCCTGGTCCCGGGAAGAGGGGGAGGTCTGGGGGGCATCGGGTGGTTGGCTCGAAAGAGTACTAGAAAGAGACCCGTTTTGGTACAAGGGTTTGTCCTACCCTGTAGCACTGGGAGGGACTGTAAAGACTATGAAGCTCGATTTCCCTTCATTTTCCCATGCTGGTCAATGATGAGAGTTGCGTAACAAACAGCAAGCTGATGTCTAAATTGAGGGCTGCTATGAGCCTCTGAGGCATGTAGTCTACCTGAAAGCACAGGACCCACCACGGGAAAGGAGGAGCTTTGTAATAATATATAAGGAACAAATAATTTAGGTAGTGCCTAGTACTCTGCATATTACATATTTAATAAAAATTAAAGCCAGCAAAACACAACTACCATGCATCTTGTTTTTATACATGGATAAATCTGGAACATTTTATATAAAACAGATATTTCTTAAACTAAGCTGCATCTGGTAATGCCATTATTCTAACTGTTAATTATAATATTTTTTTATCAAAAAAATCCTCTCTGAAGCAGTGTTGCCTGAAAGCTGTGCACTTGTGCAGCCATATAGGAGAGAGTTGCTGCCCAGATGGTTAGCAGCCTGCCCACAGCTAGGTTTTTTTCTTTCTACTGGTTGCACACTTTCATACATGCCTCGGTGCACATAACATAAAACAGTCCAGTCATTCTTCACATGGATGGAAAAACCCAGACATGGATGGAAAAGATTAGAGAGAACATTGCTCTGAAATAAATCTTTAAATAAGATTGTACTGTTTTATATTGTCAGTTTCTTAGTTTTCAGTAATACTCCGTTCTCTTTGATAAGAGTATAAATGAGTTCATATGACAACATAATAGATATACTTTATTAAATGAGCTCTTACAGCCATCACCCACCCTCATGGATATATTCTGAATTCATTGTAAGACTTATTCTGTTTTCATTTCAGTGTCGTTACTGGGTAACAATACCAATTTGCACTTACATAGAACATTCCAAATAAAGATCTCAAATCACTTAATGAATCCAAATTAATTGTGGCTCACATCACCCCAGTGAAAAAGTCTTATCAGTATTTTACAGCATATCAGAACTATTGATATGATTACATGGCTTGAAGCTGGACTATATTAATACTCACTATAAGACTTTTTGTGGGCTTCAGCACATTCTGCATGGGCCAGTTAGCATATAACATGTTACTTCAAATTAAAATATTATACCCTTCTGGTGCTGACAAAACCACTATGTAGACAAGATGTGGCAGAGCTAAGAATATAATTCATATCTGTTTGGGAGTATTAAGCTGGCTCCCATTGCAGACCAGCTCCCTTTTGCCATCTTGTGTTGCTGCATCTGTTAGAGAGGTAGTAGCATGGAGTGACAGAGGGATCCCTCGGAGTGGGGTTCGGAGTGCACTGACTGCCGGTCCCACCTCCAGGGACTACCGAATAATCATGTAACCGCTAAAATTTCATGCAGTTACACAGCTTTTCAATTACGCACTATCCAACGTCTCTACTTTTGCCTTCTCTGCTCTGTGCATTTTCTATATCTTCTCATTTGTACATGTATGTATACTCCAGTTCAACAATACCCAGCTCTTCTGGTTTTTTGGACTCCCCGGGCCTACCACCAGAGCCATCTAGACTGGAGTTGGTCTTCCTGAGGTTGAGGGCTCCTTCCTTGGTGACTTCACTGATCTGCTTCCCCATGTTGAGCCAGTCCCTTCCCCCAGGCCAGGCTTCCCCGGAACATCACCTGGAAAGGAGGGCCTTCCCCCACTACTCAGCCCGCTACTGTTGCCTCTTCTGCAGCCTCACAGGCCCCTTTGCAAGCTCAGGATTCAGAGGCAGTAGTCATGAAAGGATCCTCATCCTCCTCACCAGATGAGGCACTTGGTGGCTCTCTCCATGCCATGCCATCTATGGACTTGCGGTCCTATCATGAACTTCATCGCCTCCTGGCTCAGAGTTTGGGAATCCAGGCAAAAAGGGTGTCAGGGATTCGGACGCTATGTTTGACATCCTGCAACCCAACACCCCTACCAGAGTGGCCTTACCAATCAATAAGACTGTGACCAGAATCACAAAGAGGCAGACCGAGGCCTCTATCCTGCTGACAGACAAGAGAGCTGAGCAGAGGTACTTCATGTTGCAGGAGGGGAACGAACACCTTTTTTTCCCATCTGTCTCTAGGGTCTCTGGTTGTTCAGGCGGTGAATCAGGGAGAGGCAGGGCCAGCCAGGCACCACTCCTAAAGGCAGATGCCAAGAAAATCGACTTTTTGGGCAGAAAGGCCTGCGTGTCTGGGAGTCTTAAACTTCATATAACAAACAAGCAGATCCTGCTGAGTCTCCACGCATATATAACACCTGGGCGAACAGGGGCAGGTTCGCTGAGCTGGTCCCTAGGGACTCTCGGCCTGAGTTTGGAGCCCTTATAGAAGACGGCGGGGTGGTCTCCTGAGCTGCTCTCCATGCTGCCCTGGGCATGGCCAATGCAGCCGCCTGCACTGTAGCCATTATACTGATTTTGCATCGCAGCTGTTGGCTTCATGTGTCTGGAGTGCCACCTGAGCTCCAGACCACTATTCAAGACCTACCGTTTGAGGGTTCATCCACATTGACTAACGCCTGCAGTCTCCAGGATACCTGGGCCACCTTAAAGTCCCTGGGGGTCCATACACTGGTTAGCCAATGGCGTTCTCTGTCGGCCCGTCCTGCTTCACTCAGAGAGAAATAGTAATGGGAAGAATGGCAGATGTCGGTTCTGACCAGACCAGGACCAGGGCCCATCCAACAAGTTCTCAGGGCCTTGGTTTTTGAGGGTATGCCCGAGGACAGCCCTTCCAGCATCACTCTTTGGTTTAAACAGTGGGGGCTCAAGCATTGTGGATCCAGAACTACTTATAGGCCCGTCCTGCTTCACTCAGAGAGAAATAGTAATGGGAAGAATGGCAGATGTCGGTTCTGACCAGACCAGGACCAGGGCCCATCCAACAAGTTCTCAGGGCCTTGGTTTTTGAGGGTATGCCCGAGGACAGCCCTTCCAGCATCACTCTTTGGTTTAAACAGTGGGGGCTCAAGCATTGTGGATCCAGAACTACTTATAGGTTTCCTTTTATCTAATTGTTTGAATCCAAGAAAATCCCTGAATTCTGTGTCACTCTAAGTGCAGCCAAATCGAATCAAGGGGCTTGATTCGAACTAATGCGACCCGGAGCGCACTTCCTGGTTCGAATCAGCTGGCGATTGGAATAGCGCACAGGCGAGATTATGCTAATGAAGCGCGGGATAGTTAAATCCCTGCTTCATTAGCAATTTCGGTCGCCTACATTTGCATCCCTAGTTCGAACTAGGGTGCAAGTGTAGACGTACCCTTAGATCTTTCATAATCTATTAATTGCTCTTAGGGGGAATGGTGAAAGATATTGTCACATAGTGGCTCAGTTAACAATAAGGCACATGTTTTGTATATTTCTTTACTGTTTTAATGGTTTTATGGAAAGATGAGTTTCTTCCCTCTCTGATGCTAAGGGAATTTGTGTTTGCTAAGATTGAAGATCAAGAAGATTTTTTCTTCTTCATTGTTTGTCACTGAGGTGTTTGACACACGTCCTTTGTTTCAAGTGCTCTTTCAAGAATAATCTAATGGCTCTTATATGCAAACAAGCAGGATGACATTGCACTTATTTTCTTGCCGGGGAGGTTTCTTCCTAAAATTTCACTGTGTGATTTAGATACATTTCTAGTCTGACTAGCTATTCCCAGGTGTCTCTAACACAGGTGTTCTCAGCCAGAACTGAGGGATCGGACTCTTAGGGTGCGTCTAGACTGGCAAGATATTGTGCAAAAACTTGCCAACTGTCTACACTGGCCGCTTGAATTTGCTAAAATGGCCATCGGAGCTTTCTTGCGCAAAAGCGCGTCTAGATTGGCACGGATGCTTTTGTGCAAAAGCACTTTTTGCGCAAAAGCATCCTTGCCAATCTAGACGCTCTTTTGCGGAAATACTTTCAACGGAAAAACTTTTCCATTAAAAGTATTTCTGCAAAATCATGCCAGTCTAGATGTAGCCTTAGGGTATAACTACATGTGGTTTGGTATGCCAAGCTGTGCTACCATGCTTGCTTTAATCTAGCTAACATGGCCAAAATAGCAGGGAATACAGCATGGCACAGGCATCAGCATGGGCTAACAACATGAGTACATATGTAAGATTCCTATCAATCCTTTGCAGCCTACACTAGAACTTGTGCTGCTGTGTCTTTGTGGCTATTTTTACCTGTACTAGCTAGATTAAAGCTAATGTGAATATGACAACCCATGTTGCAATCATACTTTGGGTTGACTTAGAGTTATACACTGTTATAGGAGCTAACTTGTCAGAGGTAATAGTATTACTTTTTTTTTTAAATAACCTACTTGACATTGTTTGCAAGCCAAGTACATTTTCATTTTAATGTTCCATGTCAGCATCTATCTGACATAAATAGGACTACCCATTTGAAACAGAAAACACATAAATAGTTTCTGGTTTTACCGTAACTTGCTTTCAGTAGAAAGTCATCAAATACTACATCAGTGGAAAGATGTATTATGGTACTTAGAAACCTATTGTAAATGCCAGCCCTCATTTTAAATACTTTTCTTGTTGCACACCTGTGCTCCTATATAAATTGAATGAATAGTTAGCTACAAAAAGTTATATTTTAGTTGTACATTGGTATAAAAAGAAATGTTCCTCAAAAACATCACTAGAAAGCTAGATTTGATAGAACTAAAGTTTATATTTCAATTTGCATTTTCATTGGTGACATTTTAAGTTTAATTAAAAACAATTAAAGCACTGTTCTAGTTAAGCAGAGTTCAAAAATTTTTGTATAATTTTATATTTCTTTTTAAGCAAAAGAGGGATGTCAGAGAGGAGAGTGACGATTGGAGAAAATTGATCCTTGAAACAGAAGAAGCTATTTCTCTTAATATGAAGGATAATACCATTCAGCATATAGAATATATCTGCTATGCCAAGTAAGTATAAGTAGTATGGAGGATATATAATCAAAATGCCTTGGTATAGCGTTTTATATCGTGCATGAGTACTTACGTTGTGATGTCACTATAAATTATATTTTTTCTTTCATCTGTATCCTTTTGGACTCAAGAAAAAACTAAAAATTATCAACTTTTATCTAAGCATCCCATACATAAATCTTCTGTACTTAGAAGATGGATGATTCTTTACTGGCTTAGATTCAGATTTGATGTAATAAATATTTTGAGCAAGTTAGTGAACAAAAGGCCAATAGTTCACCTTGGATTGAAAATCAGCAATAAGTTGTGTTTGAAGGTGTTCACCATCTGCTATATGTAGTTGTTGTACTTTGCAGCTTCCAGTCTGAATTCAGGTAAAAATGGACTATAGAATTATCTTTAAGCTCTTAAGTAAAATCTCCCTTATGTGACCATTCGTAAATAGAAGAAAATAGGCAAAATGCAGTACTTCAATAATATAGTTAACATTGACACAAATTGCAATAGTGATAACCAATTTCAGTTCTTAGCATTTTAGACAATAAACAGATTTAAGATTAGCATGATATTTTAGGTTGAATTGTTGTGCATGATAGGTCCCTTTTTATGCAGAGTAAATTCAGCTAAGCCAGGGGTGGCCAAGCTGTGGCTCCAGAGCCACATGTGGCTCCACTGGACCGGAGGGTGCTCGCTGTTCAACCCCTAGCTCTGCCCTAGGCACTGTCCCCCTCCACCCTTTCCCTCTAGGATCCTGCCACTTCTCACCCTCTCCACTGAGCCTGTCACATCCATGCTTCCCCCCTTCAGTGTCTCCCACTGAGAAAGAGCTGATCCAAGTGGACAGAAGAAAAAGGAGAAGGAGGCATTGACCGGTGGGGTTGCCAGTAGGCAGAATGTGCTCAGAGTGGTGGTGGGGAGATGATCAGGGCTGGTGACAGAACTGTTGCTCTTTGGCAATGTGCATTGGTCAATTCTGGCTCATTCTCAGGTTTAGGTTGGCCACCCCTGAGCTATGCACTGCTTTGGTTTATCTGCTTGGTAAATTTGGGAGCCTAATTTAATTATCTGCCTTTTAATTCAGGTTCAGCATTGAAAGGTGATAAACTACTTAATAGGATGAACCTTAGTTTTAAAATCGATAAAATTATTTGAGAACCCTATATTAATACAATATTGGTTAAATACACAAATTATAAAGTGGAAAATTAACAATTTCAGCTAATATTTTATTTATAAAATAAAATCTTAGCATAATGGTGGTACAGCAATCCTAAGTACTACAGAAGCATAATAATGCTTAGTGAATATTAGCAAACCTTCATTTAAGAACTGAATAACTGGTGTGCATTTGATCTTGTTTTTATTAGCTTTTGCATTGAATTCAATTGTTTTTTATTCTTAAGAAGTCATAGTGGATACATACCTCAACTTTAGCTTCATAGAATCATAGAGCTGGAAGAGACCTCAGAAGGTCATCAAGTCCAGCCCCCTGCTCTAGGCAGGACCAATCCCAACTAAATCAACCCAGCCAGGGATTTGTCAAGCTGAGACTTAAACACCTCTAGGGATGGAGACTCCACCACTTCCCTAGGTAACCCATTCCAGTGCTTCACTACCCTCCTAGTGAAATAGTTTTTGCTAATATCCAACCTGGACCTCTCCCACAACAACTTGAGACCATTTCTTCTTGTTCTGCCATCTGTCACTACTGAGAACAGCATTTCTCCATTCTCTTTGGAACCTCCCTTCAGGAAGTTGAAGGCTGCTATCAAATCCCCTCTCTCTTCGCTTCTGCAGACTAACCAGACCCAACTCCTTCTATCTCTCCTCATAAGTCATATGCTCCAGCTCCCTAATCATTTTGGTTGCCTTCTGCTGGACCCTCTCTAATGTGTCCACATTTTTGTAGTGGGGGGCCCAGAACTGGACACAATATTCCAGATGTGACCTCACCAGAGCCGAATAAAGGGGAATAATGACATCTCTGGATCTGCTGGCAATGTTCCTCTTAATGCAACCTAATATGCCATTAGCCTTCTTGGCTACAAGGACACACTGTTATCTCAACTCATATCCAGCTTCTCATCCACTGTCACCTCCAGGTCCTTTTCTGCAGAACTGCTACTTAGATGGTTGGTCTACAGTTGGTAACAATGCTTGGGATTCTTCCGTCCCAAGTGCAGGTCTCTGCACTTGTCATTGTTGAACCTCATCAGATTTCTTTAGGCCCAATCCTCCAATTTGTCTAAGTCACTCTGAACCCTCTCTCTGCCCTCAAGCGTATCTACCTCTCCCCCTAGCTTAGTGTCATCCGCAAACTTGCTGAGGATGCAATCCATCCCCTCATCCAGGTCATTAATAAGGATATTGAACAAAACCGGTCCTGGAACCGAACCTTGGGGCACTCCACTAGAAATCAACCACCATCCTGACATCGAGCCGTTGATCACTACCTGCTGGGCCTGGCCTTCTGGCCATCTTTCTATCCATCTTACTGTCCATTTATCCAATCCACTTTCCCTTAACTTGATGGCAAGAATATTGTGGGAGACTGTATCAAAAGCCTTGCTAAAGTCAAAGTATATCACATCCACTGACTTTCCCACATCCACAGAGCCAGTTACCTCATCATAGAAGCTAATCAGATTGGCCAGGCACGACTCTCCCTTTTTGAATCCATGCTGACTATTCCTAATCACTTTCCTCTCTTCCAAGTGCCTCAAAATGGATTCCTTAAGGATCCCTTCCATAATTTTTCCAAGAACCAAGGTAAGATTGACCAGCCTATAGTTCCCTGGATCTTCCTTCTTCCCTTCTTTGAAGCTGGGAACTACATTTGTTTTTTTCCAATCATCCGGGATTTCTCCCGATCTTCACGACTTTTCAAAGATAATGGCCAAAGGCTCCTCAATGACATTTGCCAACTCCCTCAGTACTCTTGGATGCATTAAGTCCGGACCCATGGATTTGTGTACGTTTAGCTTTTCTAAATAGTTCCTAACCTGTTCTTTACTCACCAGGGCTGTCTTGTCTTCATCCCATCTTGCATCACTTAGCGCATTATTCCGGGAGCCCACGTTGTCCGTGACTACAGAGGCAAAGAAAGCATTGAGTACTTCAGCTTTCCCCACATCATCTGTCACTAGGTTACCTCCTTCATCCATTAGGGACCGCATACCCTCTCTGATCATCATCTTCTTGTTAACATGCCTGTAGAAACCTTACTTGTTATCCTTCACATCCTTAGCCAGTCGCAGTTCCATTTGTGCTTTCGCCTTCCTGATAACTCCCCAGCATTCTCGAGCCCCTCCCTGGTCATGTGTCCAAGTTTCCACTTTTTGTAAGCTTCGTTTTCCCCGGTAAGCCAATGTGGTGTCCTACCATATTTGCTTTTCTTACTGCTCAACGGGATGGTTTCTTCCTATGCCTTCAATAAGGCTTCTTTAAAATACTGCCAGCTCTCGTGGACTCCTTTCCCCTTCATGTTAGCATCCCAGAGAATCCTGCCCATTGGTTGGCTGAGGGAGTCAAAGTCTGCTTTTCGGAAGTCCAGAGCATGTATTTTGTTATTCTCCTTTCTTTCTTTGGTCAGGATTCTGAAATCTACCATCTCATGATCACTAGGTTGTCACCCACCTCTACTTCCCCTACTAGTTCCTCCCTGTTTGTGAGCATAAGGTCAAGCTGTGCATGGCCCCTGGTCAGAGCCTTTGGCACTTGTGCCAAGAAGTTATCCCCAGTTTACATTGTACCAGTTTCTTGTAAAATTGATACATGCAGATTGTTTAGCAGGATTTTGTGTAATAGTTAGGGATGACCAAGCTACTAATCTTTTTAGACAGTGTTCCCAAGGGATCTTCCTTGGCACTCTGAGGTCACTTTCCTTTTATATGCTCAACATTCATTGTTTGTGTTCTCTGGGTTTCACATCCCATATGGATGAAGTCTGCTTTCCACAGACTTTCTACAAAATAGTTTAAAACCATTTGTCTAGTAATAGTTTGTTTTCTTAAAAGACTCCTCCTCTCTTGCCTGTTCTTCTTCAACAGTCTATACCCTTCCATGTGAATCATCCCACCAAGTCTCTGTTATGCCAATTAAATCATATTTCTTGGACTGGGCCAGGGCCTCCAGTTCTCCCTGTTGATTGCCCAGGCTTCTCGCATTAGTGTACAAACACCTCAGATAACCAGTTGATTGCCCTATCGTCTCCATTCGAATCAGGGGTCCTCCTTTGTTGCTTGTTCCTCTTTGCATTTCTTCCAGGTATCCGACTTTCCCACTCCCCTCAGGGTTTTGGTCACCGTCCCCCAACAAACCTAGTTTAAAGCCCTCCTCGCTAGGTTTGTAAGCCTGCCCGCAAAGATGCTCCTTCCTCTCTTGGCTAGGTGGATCCCATCTCTTCCTAACAATCCTTGTGCCCGGAACAGAGTCCCATGGTTGAAGAAACCAAAGGCCTCTCTGCAACACCACCTGCGCAACCACGCATTTACTTTCTCAATTTGACGATCCCTGCCCAGTCCTTTCCCTTAACAGGGAGGATGGATGAGAATACCACTTGCACTCCGAATTCTTGGATCCTTCTTCCCAGCGCTACATAATCCTCAGTAACCCGCTCAAGATCATTCTTGGCCGTAGCATTAGTTCCCACATGGAGAAGTAGGAAAGGGTAGCGATCCGAAGGTTTGATCAGTTTGGTAAGCCTCTCAGTCACATCCTGAATGCCAGCTCCCAGTAAGCAGCACACCTCTCGAGATTCCAGGTCCGGACGGCAGATGGATGGCTCAGTCCCTCTTAGGAGGGAGTCCTCGACCACCACCACCCGTCATTTTCTTTTGGGGGTGGTGGCCATGGAACCCCCATCCATAAGACTACGCATCCCATGCCTTCCAATAGATGGTGTTCCCTTCCGGTTTCTTACTTGTGAGGCCCCTTCCAAAGCATTCACCACTGCAGAACCTGTGGAGAGAGCCTGAAAGCGATTACTTACCTGTATA